ATCAAACACGATAAGACCAAATTGTAAAATTACAATACTTCTCCCCTAAATAAATATAAAAAAGTATTGGAATTATGATATCAACAGTTTAATTAATATTACAGTCATGAAATTTTACCTCGTTATTTTTGCGTTTTGCCCATATGTAAAGTATAATAAATACACACATGGATGCAAATACTGCAAAAACGTATAGACCATAATCCATAAGAAAGTTTGCTATTGTGCAAAATTAAGAATGTCAATTAAAATCACATTAACCATTACAGAAATAAACGTGAAAGTATGAATTCTTACAGGTGGTTTTGTATCCAAATTCTTGATCTAAATATCTTGTATATTCACCAGTTGCAATAAAAGTGATATACTTATTCTTAATCAAAGTATCTAAATCATTTTTGGCCGAATCAACTTTTATTTCATGTTTAATTTTTTCCCTTTCAATATTAATAGATAAAATGATTTGTTTCGGAGAGACTGTGGTGTCGGTTTCACCCCTTCCATTGGTAGTTATGCGATCCGGGCTAATGGGTATGGCATATGCTATTTCTTGCCTTAACTTCTTGTAAAAATCATCGCGGCCGTGATCATCAAGTTTATCAAAATAATTAGTCCCTTCTGTGGTTAATCGAACCATTCCTGTAGCTTTAACTGAACTCTTTCCTTCGTTCGGTACTAATTCGAAATTGTGTGATGTGAGTATTTATGTCATTAAAATGAGAGGAATTTAAAGTACTTACGTGTTGTAAAGGACCAAACGCGATCATGTATACCATCTAGAGGTTCTTGATATGTTCGACTCTTTATAAAGTTATTATCAATTGTAACATAATATTTTCCAGTAGGATGGTTGAATGTGCTTTTAATTACTTTGACATAAACTGTCATTCCATCATCATCAAGTCTCACATGTTCGTTGAATCCAGAAGTGAATTGACGAATAATATCACGACCAGAATCATCGATTTGAAAAATCGTAATGTTGCCAGATGATAAAACTATTTGATCAAAAAATTTGATTGTAAGTGATTCTATATCAGTTGAAATCGTTTCATTAATCGCTGGTGACGTGGTGTTAATATGGAAATTGGTATATCCATGATCTAAAAATAATTAAAGTCGCTTTAGTAAATAACGAAAAAAACAAAATAATAATTGTAAATATACGTTCGAGATATTGCGTTACGTTACCTTTTTTCCCAGCAAATTTATACAAATCAGTCGTGATCAAAGTCCAACTTTGTCCTTGCTCTTTTTGAGCTAGCACAAGAGTATTATTTGGTAAAACTTTAGAAGAAGCGAATACATTTGTTATGATAGGATTTTCAAGGTCCCAGGAATAAACTTCACCATCGTTATTAATTATATAACCATACATAATAGCTTCATTTGCTTCATTTTTTTTTAATCCAGTTAATAAAAAACCCCCATATCGTAATGATCTAACATAATATTCATCAATTCCTGGAATCGTTGGAATTGGTCCATTTAATGATTTACCATTATATGAGGTTCCTGATGTAAGAAATTCGACCTTAACATAAGAAGTATTGAGATTATTATTAACGGTCAATACACAAGTTTGTCCCATTCCCAAGTAGGCAATATCGCAATCAAGTGATAAAAACTTTAATCCGGGAATTTGAGTTTGAAAGAGAACAGCTGGTTTTCGATTAGTCGACTGACCATATGTTAAGAATAGGGCGTAGATTGCTCCATGAGGAAGAAAAGGATCCTCCGGAGGGACATCCGTTGAATTGGCAAAAATAATCGCGTATCCTCCGTCAATTGTCGCGATGGCTTTAACTTGATACGACAAGCTTTGAAAGCTTATGCTATCTTCTGCAAGCTTTTGAATTTCCTTATTTTCAGTTCTTTTTTTTTTTTAAAAAAAAAAAAAAGAATAATAACGATCATTAATTAATCATAAGTTGATTGAGCATTTAATATTTATATGATAAATGATAAATTACATTAAGAATTGTTGACCAATAATATTAGTGGTATTTGTTTCAGTACCCACACGAAGAAATCCCTTATTACGATCAACATTTACTGTAATTGAAGCTTGGTTGGGCAACCAATTGTTGGTTACCGGATCAACAAAAGCAGGTCCCAGTAAAACTTTACTATAGTAGTAAGATTAGAATTATTGTTTATTACTTACTTTCTCTTTTAAAAAGATAAAGAGTTTCATTTTTAATTTAATGTAATAATTTATGCTAACCCATAAATAGTTCGATTTAAATCAACAAGCATTACCCATTCATTATAAGTAAAAGCATTATTTGGATCCTCAGCTTCCGTGTAAGTTATCAACAAGAGATCACTTGTTACAGGATAAATTTTAATAGGAGTCTTCATGAATCCGTTTATTTGCCAGTAACAAAAATTAAAGTCTTGAATATCCAACGTCATGTCAATTTCTGTAACTTGTCCATCAGGTGAAATCGCTCGAAGTGACAAGTGTTTATCTACACAAGTCATTCCTTCATATGAAGCCGAAGAATTCCTACGAATTATACGAAGAATTAAAGTGCCATCATCAAATTTATCTATCATAGATACGCGAGGTGGATTAATATTTTCAGTTGATGACTCATAATATGTAAAAACATTCGTTTGTGATTTTATGGGAAGTGTTGTAAAGATGATGATTGATAAAAATGTTAAAATAAATATATGATTTAAATTCATCTCGAATGTATTATAAGTTTTATGATGGGATTTTGGATTTATTTAAAAATTCATGAATGAATATCTCTGATGACAATAAAAAAAAGGAGAAAAAGAAAATTTACATATGATAAGGAAATTTTTTTCCCAGAAAGAATAGGACCCATTTTCATAGCATTTTTATATAAATATTTTTCATTAACCCGATATATACCATGCGTATTGTATAATGAAGATTGGATTTTGTGTTTGTGTTACATCTTTAAAAAATTTTCGTAAAAAAATTGGGACACTAAACTTTATTCTTTACAATTTTTTTTTCCTCCGCACAGCAATTCCCATAATAGTCAAATGCTTGATAACTTTTGAATTAACGCTATTATGAGGGATTTCCTTTTTAAGTAACAATTTGTAGAATATCCGGATTCTTTGAATCACTATCTTGTTTGTTTATTTAATCGAACGCCATTAAACGTTAGCAGCAATTTTTTGTTGTGTAACATAACTGATATAATCATACATAAAACCAACAATGACTCGTGCAAACATCAAATTCACAAGGGTCTTTTGAACACACATATTTATTCTGGTTCTAGGTTTATCAACAAGGTTACAACAGGTAAAAGATATTCTGTAAAGTTAAATTTGACAATACTCAATTTGAACGATAAGAACAAGATCTAAAGTGATGATGATCAATGGTTCCTTGGCAATATCAGTGTAACGCTGATCTTCAACCTTCAGTCGACGTATTTTTAGAATTGGCTATTTTTAGAACAACGAAAAGTGCTGGAAAATTTTTATAAATAGCTGCGGGTATATTATATTTTTAATTTTGCGGGGTTCTAAAACATATATGATAAACATGTTGAATCCCTGTATAATAATTTGGCTTTTTCTTACGAATAAAGTGTGCTGTTACACAAAATTTTAACTGTGGAATCTAAATTCCCTTACTGGAGGCAATGTTTTAAGGCAGTTCATTCTTAATTCGGGTGCTGATTGTGCTTAAATTAGGCGCTAATACATAAATCGAAAGTTTAGTGAGAAAATAATAATATATTTTTTTTGCCCAAACTTAATATGGGTAAATCAAGTTTATTGATGGGTAAATCAACAAAATTATGATCATTCAAATAGGAATCCCAAAAGAATTAACTAGACTAAAACCAATTTTAAACAAGTGAACAAATGAACGCCATACGAATCAAATTTGTAACATCATCCCCAGTTTTTCATTGTTTCTTTTCTTTCTTTTCCTTATAAATCATTGAATTTATCAAACGCTAACAAGGATTTACCCAAAAACGGTACGTATTTAATCGAACACAATATATATAAAGCGATTATTATTTAGCACATGGTTACCATCTTAAATTTTTATGGCAGTATTTTTTTTTTTTTTTTTTATAAATAAACCAACCATGAATAAGTACAACGATGAAGTGACACATTTTTTGTGTTTGTTATTGTAGCTACTTGAATATAATTATATATATAATGAACTTGAAAATTATTTTTAGCTGACCTTTTCTTTTTTATTGTATTTTATTTTTTTTTTTACTTTCTTTCTTTTACAATCGATTGATATTTTTCCAAAAAAAAAAAAAAATATTTATTTTTTTTCTTTGTTAATGACACCTTAGCTAATGGTCGCTTTATATATGAATGTTTCATGGAATTATACACTCAGCCATCAATCTTTCGTATTCTAAAAGTTTTGCAACTTTTATTCGCTTTCGTATGTCTAGCCTTAGGTAATATTAAAAAAATGACAAGTTTGTCCCTAAAAAGAGAGAAAATTAAAAATCCTTTTCTCTCTCTCACTTTCATACATGTGCATAAATATAGAAATAACTCAGTTTATAGCTTCTTCAAAATATGAGCCGCTAACGTTGATACATTTTGAGGAAATTGGGTAACCCTTTGTTTGTTTCCTAACTCATCTTGATTCAATTATCGAAAATCGGTTCGCAAGCTTAATTTATTATCATGCATTCATTTAGAGCCTTCAGTAACCCTGGGATACAAATATTCTTTTATGTTGTAATCCCAGTTACGATAGTTGTTGTTGGTAAATATCCTTTGTCTCTTTCGTTCTATTGCTTTTGATTCGATATATTTTAATTTAATTTTATTATGACAGGATGGTATTTAATATATTTCAATTTTTATTGGAGGAATCCATCAGCATATAGAGATATAGGAATAGATGGGTATATAATAATAACGACGTTGTTAAAAAATTTTTTTTTATTTTTTGTTAAAGTTGAATTATTTATATATATATATGTTTTTATAATTATTAGCTTTTTTTCTATATTATGGGTAACCGCAGGTACGTAAAAATACAAATATACAAATCAAATAGAAAGGAAAGCCACTTAAATATTTTCTTTATTTTCAGGGTTGACGAAGTTATATCCAGTGTATTATAATTATAATCCTAAATGTCCCAAAACGGAAAATTTCGCTTACGAAAAACATTTAGTATGTGGCACGTATATAGCGAGCATGTCAATTGGATGGGTCAACGCAGCATTATTCGTAATATCAACAATATTTTCATATAAACTATCAAAAGAATTAGAATGGAGGGGAACCATAAATTCATTAAGTAGAAGACAATCGGTTGCAAGTCAATTCAGTAGGAGGAATAGTACTCGAAGGACCTCAATTCGATAAAAAATTCTTATCGGCAATAGACAATTTCATTAGATTTCATGATATTATTTATTTATTTAATTATGTATTTATAAATTGAAAAAAATTTCCTTTTTTTTTGTTTTCTTGCTTCAAACACATGTTCGTTTCATACGGGTGAATAGAAATGGGACTTTGCATTTTATTTCTACTGATTTTATCAATATTTTTGTAAATAATAAAATTTTTTTTCATATGTATGTGAAACTTAAAGAAAGGAGAGTATGCGATTAATAAATAATGCAAAACCCTTACATGATTACATATTGCAGCTTGTCATATATGGTAATTTTTCTTTGTTGATTTTTGGTTCCCATCACCTTTTCTGACTTCATTGTTTACATTCATGTCAAATATGAATAAAATTTCATTTATATATATATAATATGTATATAGAAATTAATTTAAACAATTTTTTAAAAAAAAAAATATAACATGCATAAAATAATATTTTGACTCAATTTCACTTGAATTGGGTAGCTCCATCGCCTTGATTATTAAAAAATAAAATATAAATATTTTTCTTTATTTATTTATTTTCATTTATGAAAAAAGAGAAAGAAGAATTTTTTGTTTTCTCAATTTATTAAAAACGGAAATAAAGTGGCTGCTCACGTGATAATGCATATCGTGTGACTTTCTACAAAAATTTTTTTAACGGATTTTGTACGTTATAAACGTTATTTCGTTATATTCAAGAAATGTAACAGCATCAGACATTATTTTCATAGATTGGATTGAACGTCGAAGGACGTGACTTTCAAGAACTTGACGTTTTTTTTCCGTGCAATGGCACGATGAAAAAAAAACGTATAGATCTGTATCAACGATTTTCTTTTGGAGGTTCTATAACCATCAAGTTCCAAATTTTTTCTTCAAGAAATCATTCTCGAGATTTTTTAACATCTTTTTGGAATCATATTTTAAGTGGGAATCTTAAAGTTCAATTCTAATCATTTAATGCGTTGATTTTTGCATGAAAATGAGATGGAATTTTTGAATTGGGGAATGGAAAGGCTTCCTTTTTATGAGTTACAATCATGTTTAAGAACTTCTTTTTAGTAGTGGTGATGCATCAAAGTGATATATATATATATATGGACATATGGACATGCGACATTAGTTGGGGTTGGAATTATTTCTATCGTAGAGTTTTAGATTCTTCAAGTTTTTGACACTTCTCGCAAAAATGTTTATCTATGCCAATTTGTTTTCAGTAAAAGAAAATACAACCTCTCTCACAAGTATCGTCATATGTCAATTGATGAAATATAAGTTTGGACTGAAGGTTAGAACCTCTCTCTCTTTTTTTAGTAGCTTTAGAGAAACTTTCTAATAATGGATAAACCATGATCGTAAATAACACGTACAAACGGGATCATAAAATGGCTAGAAACTCACCTTTTAACTTCAAGCTATTTGTCATTTTTGGGGGATTTTAAATAACAATAATAAGAATTTATTATTACTTTTTGATTTTTGACAGTAGAAATTGTCGTCGATCAAAACCCAATTTATGTTTGTTGAACAGTAGTACAAATAAAAAAAAAAGCAAATTCTAGCATTTGTTTGTTGGCCACACAACTGTATATTCGGCGTCAAAGACGGTTATCATTATATAATAGCGTGTAACAGGCATTAATTTTAATAAAATCCCGAAGGTTCATGGAATGTCAATGGCTCAATGTCAAACTGTATTATAAAAAAATTATATCCTTCCATTTTTTAGCAAATCGAAAACATTAAATAAATGATTTGTTTTTTATTTACCTTGGAAAATAACCAAATAAAGGAAATAGGAAGAATAAGACTGTTGATTTAAAAGAAATTAGAAAGGTGTTTGAGAAATTGTTTTATTATTAAATTTATATGTATCTTACCAAATTACCGATAAAAGCATACATGCAGGACATTTCTTTGAATGTGCTAATGCTAAAAAGATAGATTAAAATGGTCCAATTTTCTAAAATAACGAGATAATTAATGGATTTGAATTTACCCAAACTCAAAATCCCAATGACCAACAAATAACTAAAATTAAAATTTTAATCCATTAAATAACATTTTTTAAAAACATTTATAACTGGTAATAAAGAAATAATTTTAAACACAAACATGAATGATGATTCCATTTTATTTTTTCTTCGCTGTAAAATAAACAAAAAAAAAATCCGTAAAAACTATGGAATTTTAAGACACCGTTTTATATTTCAAAGAAACAATACATATATTTTGAATACATTTAATTTCAAGTATTGTAAAGACTTTTTACTATTTTTAATCATACAAGAAAACGTATTATTATTATTCCAAGTTTGAACAATTGAATCATAACATTGGGTGGCGTATTGAATGAAATGTTTGGTCTTACAATTCGAGTTGATTTTTTTTTATTTGTTAATTACTGATAAAGAGAATAATTATTATTTTCTTCTACCGGATATTTTTTTTTCCGCAACCTTTAACATTTATCTTTGATATTAAGTTGTCCATAAATCACCTTTTTATATCATTATCATCACTCACTCCATTATCATCAACTCCAAACCATCTTTTATATTTAGATTCAGGAATGTACATTGAAAAAGTTACAAGTAAGGTACAAATGAACATTAACCACATACAAATTAGATTCGCCGTACGAATTTGGCATATAGATCGAAGTTGTGGGAATGAATATTTATAATTGGATGAACAAAAGAAAGGTACTCCACCTAATTCGTGAACTGTATAGCAAGTATAAATAACTATGTACATTGTTGACAAAAAAATAAATAAATAAACATTGATTTTGATTTTACTTTTTCAGTTTGAAATAAAAAGATTATAAAAAGGTCTTACTTGGGACAACTATCCACAAAAACGCCGAAGCACTAAAAAATATATAACAAAAAAAAAAAAAACTTCAATTCATAAAGAAATCAATAAAGTCTAGATTTCTTAAAGTTTTTTATAATTACCCGAATTTCCAATTTAATGAATTTATTTCGTAACAATAGCAACAATAACACATAATTATTAAGAAAGCTAATTTAATTAAAAGTTATCAAAATATGATTATGATGTTATTGTATTCTCATAATTATCGTTATGTACTTACAAAATTGATAGGACAAAAGAACTATGTATCTTGAATTAAGAATCGACCGTATGTAAAAATTACCAATAATTTGTTAAAAAAATGATATGATTTCTTCAAAGAATAAACTGCACTCACAAAAGTTCTATTGGCCCATTAATTGGTAATCCATATTTTTCGAATAATTTGATTTTCTTGTATTCTACAATATCGCCAGTAATTCAAAAAGGGATAAAAGTTAGCATCCTTACAATCCATTGATTTTTTTTTATTTTTTTTTTAAAAATAAAGCACATGAGGAATTCGGCTCATACCTAATAACGGACAAACAAAAATCAACGGAAAGATCACCACAATTAAACATATAAAGCATAATATAAGCATTATTTTTAAATAATTATTTTGTGTGGTTGAATGAGTGTCCATATCAGTTGAATGTTTGTCGTTTTGATCAGGTTAATTATGCCTACAAAGAATGAAATGATGTTATTGAAAAGATTTTTTTTTTACCACAATTTTTCTATAAAGCCACGTTTTCAATAATTAATTTTTATATCCGAGAATTCAAGCCTTGGTTTAAGCCCTTTTAAATCAACGTGTCCCCATTTGGTCAACTGCGGAGTAGCATCACATGATATAATGACCGATACTCCTCACGTGGTGTATACTCCTGATTTTTGTTCTCTTGGAAATGCATTCATATTATAATTCTTGCTAATAGATGATAAATATTACAACTTAAAAAAATTATCTTGAAGATTGATTTTGCATTAAGAATTATTTTTGGTAGTTTAAAAATTTGAAAATATTAATTTGAAAATAATGTTTTCATATAAAATTTCATATATATGGATATAAAACTTTTTTTAAAAATGATTTTTAAAATAAGTTAATAAATATTATAACAATTTAAAATATTGTAAATACTAATTTAATTCAAAAATTATTATAAAAAGTGTATTACATAATAAGTATAAAATAATAAAACCAAATATTTTTTAATGTTTTTAATATTAATCATAATTTACTACTTAAAATAGTTAATAAGTTAAAGAAAATTAAATCATAAATATTAATATATTGTTTCTTTATAATAATTATTTATTATTGATAAATATTAAATAAATTTTAAAATATATTTATTTTATTATTTATTAAATAATATTAATAAAATATTATTTTATATATTTATCTATTAGTATATTTGTATATTTTCATATTTAATTATTATTAATTAGAATTATATTTTTTCTATTATAATTATATTATATAAAAATCTTTTTTATATTAAAAAAATTTATAATAAAATTAATAAAAATATCTTTATAATTTTACAAAATAACAAACTCATTTGTAAGTATAATTTTTTGAAAATATTACTATTCAAACTTTATTTTTGGAAATTTGAGCTTTAACATATTTGAAAATAAATTATTTATTTATAATAAATATCTTTATTTAAACTTCTGATAGGTTTTCATAAACTTATTAAAGTTTAATCAAACTTTAAAATTTTTAAAAACTCATTTTAAAAGTTTTGTAAAAAAACTCTAAATTTAAGCTATATAGTTATATTCATCTATATAGTCATACCAGTCAACTGTTCTGAAATTATATATATAAAATCTACTTTATATAGTTACTTTCTGTCTATAGTCACTATCACATCTATTTTTAAAAACCTTATATTTGAAAAATATCACATATAATCACATTCAAAATTTTCAATTTATTATTTAAATTATCTATTAGCAAGCCATTTATTTTATTACTAATCATAAAATTTTAAATGAAAATAAATAACAAATAAAAATGATTTTAATTTCTGAAAATATTTAAGTTTTAATATACTATTGAATTTCACTATAACAAATATCTATATTTTGAATTTTTATTATAGTGA